ACCACATTCTGTAGAAGGACGGAAGATCGCCCACAAAATGTCACCATGCAACAATGAATATGAGCTTGCCCCTTTGTGAAAACAAATTCTCCATAGGCTTGTATAGTACATTTTTCTTTTCAGTACATAAGGTTCTGATCTCTGCTGGGGAGATCTGACGTAAATCCTAACCCCTGCCATGATTTTGTGCAAAAATCACAAAAGAGAATATATGGAGCATTAAAGTCAAATACACACTGCATGACTAAAGGGAAGCTACAATACAAAACCTGTTGATGGATATTCCTCATATATGGAGGAAAAACAACACTTCCACTCAATACTAACAGCAATAAACACAAATAAGCTGCAAGATCCAAGTACTAAGATCAAAGTTACTGCCACGTTTTGAGACCCCAGGTGAAATATAGGTGGCAGCTCAAACAGTGACCATTCAGACAGTCTAAACTGGCCTCCCAGGAAGCTTCTGGGTTTCCCTCCGGGCACGAAGCAATGCTCAGGAGGAGCCACTAGGCTAGAGAATGACTTCAGCATGTCGATTCATCACAGGTTGCGCAGTCTGATAGGAGCCTACATTTAACAAAAGCTGTGCTTTCCCTACTCGTATCAGACCCTATGTATCAAAATATCCAAAAGAACCGAGAAAATACAGTATGCAGTCGCTAGTCTGAAATGAAATGTGAAGGTTAAAATAAAAACACCATATTCTTCTAATTCCTAAAACACACTGTTTGGCTCATTAGAAGAGAGCATCTTTTTCAGTCATTAATTTTTAAAACTTTTTTACTCTTCATTTTTTTCCAGGAATAGTATTTTCGTACAACTCATTTCAAGAACAGAAAAACAACAGTGACGCATATAATAAAGGGTTAATATAAATATGTATTACTTATTAATGTGAGATCATAAGTCTTTTGCATAGAACATAAGGATTTGTTTGAGTTTGAAACCAGCTACCTAGCCAGACTGTTAAAGCCGATAACCTGGCTTTATTCAAGAAATGATTGGATGAGATCTTCAGACCAATTAGTTACTATCAAACAGGCTTGATGGGAAAAATGGCCTCCTCTTGTTTTAATGACTATTGCCCCTAAACACAAGCTCTTTAAAACCAGAAGACTGAAGATAGGTACACCTCTTATGGAAGTATTTCTTCTTACCGTACAGGAGTATCGACCTGTCAAAACAAGGACATTCACCTGTCCTCACACTTAATGATCACACCTCGTTCTCTTTAATAATAATTGCTTACACTTATATTGCACTTTTCTGGACACTCCACACAAAGCACTTTACAGGTAATGGGGACTCCCCTCCACCACCACCAGTGTGTAGCCCCACCTGGATGATGCAACGGCAGTGCGCCAGTATTTTCCCCACACATCAGCTATCAGTGGTGAGGAGAGCAGAGTGATGAAGCCAGATCATAGATGGGGATTATTAGGAGGCCATGATTGGTAAGGGCCAATGGGAAATTTGGTCAAGACGCCGGAGTAATACCCTGGGATTGAGAAATGCCCTGGGATCTATTATGGCCATGGAGAGTCAGGACTTGGGTTTTACATATCCGAAGGATGGTACCTTTTTTTGTCCCTGTCATTATACTGGGGTCATTAGGATCCTCAAAGTCCGCAGGGTGAGCGCCCCCTGCTGGCCCCGCTAACACCTCTATTAGCAGCAAACCTTAGCTTTCCCAGGTCTCCCATCCAAGTACTGACCAGGCTCACACCGGCTGAGCTTCAGTGGGTTGCTAGTTGTGAGTTGCAGGGTGATGTAACTGCTGGCATACATCCACATTAAAGACATGTAGATATAAATACATATATGTTAAGTCTTAGCTATTCACCTGAGCTCTGTAATACACAAGAGCCCTTCTCTGCCATGGACTATTACATCTCTGCCAACCCATTCATACTCATAAATACCATAATTTCAATTCAAGTACTCAACAGACTGTATTTCAATGTGATACTGGAACACGACACTCACACAGCTTCTGGCAGATACATAAATTATAAACTCAATATTAAAGGCATAATTTGCCAATCAGTTCTAATGTGAAGATATCTATTTTTACATCCCCACTACCCAATTGTGCTCTGAAGAAAACTGGCACTTTACTTACATTACAGTAGACTGTCAGGCTGAGCTGGCTGCTGTCACTCACAGAGCCTCTGGTGGACAGAAAACAAGTTGGTGGCTTTAATGAAAAGGCCTTACAACTGAACACTCCAATACAAGCGATCAAGCACCTGCTGTATTGAGGATGTGGCCCTTATTGTGATAGCAAGACTGAATTAAGAAAGATGTTATACATGAACCTGAGGAGTCAGGTTTAAATCTCATCTCAGTTGTTACACCCTGATTTTATGCCTTCATCGCATCTTGGCTGGATTACTGCAATAGCCTTTACAGTGGTCTCCCTACCTGCTCTCTGAACAATCGTTAAAGGGTCCAAAACTCAGCTGCTCGACTTCCAATGCGTTCAAGGCTCCATGACCACGTCACCCCAATTCTGACACATCTTCACTTACTCCCCATTACTCAGCGCATTCAGTTCAAAATTTTACTTTTAACTCTTAAAGCTTTACACACCAAATTCCCACAATACTTAGCACCTCTCATTATTCCCTATGGATTGTGCCAAAGCAGGGCTTTATTCTCTGCTGAGGCAAACCTTTTAGTAGCACCCTCTTATAGGTCCATGCGTCTTGGGGACACACGCTTTCAGCCACTCTGAGAACTGTAAACTCTTTTACTGTTTTTAAACCTTGAGACGTAGCTGTTTAATCAAGCTTTTAATTAGCGTTGGCCTTTTCTCCCTTTTCCATGCTTCTTATCTCTTTAAGTTCTGTAATTTGGATTATTTACATTGTAAAAAAATGTCTAAATAATTAGTAAATACGGCTAACTATCCAATAACCTCATAACCCAAAATTTGGTCAGACCACCAAGGAGGAGTGCTGAGCACTGGGCCACAAACATGTCCACCATTTCTACCATGAAGCATTCCTCAGCTTCTTAAAACTGTCAGAAGTGAAGAAGTAAAGGGCATATGGATAACCATGAGATGGCTGTGCAAAGATTTCTACATTGGAAACATTCTTTCTCCCTTGGCTCTTCGATGAACATTTTTAAAAACTTTTAACTGCAAAACATAGGTGAAGAATAGTGATCACAATGATTTTGCATCTTTAAGATACAATATTCTGGTAATTATGCCAGAAATGTTTCCATTGGATTCCCTATCCTGCAGTCAATCACCAGGAGGTGATTTGCATAGATTCATTACATTCTCATTTAGTATTGCAGGTCAAAGTGAATCAAACAAGGCATCTGGTAAATACTGATCAGCTGTTCTTCAAAGTAAAATAACTGATGTCAGCAAATACAACAGTGAGGCTTCCGAGTTTTAGGGATTCTGAAAATTAAACTCAATTGTCAGCCACAGATGAGGTTCCCAGAATACAGACACAGACTGACTTTAAGGTATTTAATGCATTAAAGCATTTTGGGGCTTAACTATTAGAAGGAAGGGTATATACAGTATAAATCCTGTTAAGGTGAGATTTGCAAGAAAGTAACACAGGCACCAAGTCATTTTTGCTCATACTTTTTTTAATGTATCACAATGAGCAAGAAACATACTTGATGAAATATTTTCAAAGGAGTATATTCAATTACCATCTACAATCAACTTAACTAGGACAACAAGGTTTTTGTGACAAAAGTTTCTCTTCTTTAAAAGTTTGGAGTTCCATGTGGTTTTTGTATGTTAGTCTCCATGTAATTTGGTACAGTTTGGAAATCTTCATCATATAATTACAGTAACAAAAAAGCTAACAAGACTACAGTATAGAAAAGACATCAAGAACAACATTTTTGGTTTAACTTGCTCTTTTTTGTACATTGCAAGGCTGTTTTTTTCTACCCTCAGGTGGGCCAACTGGAACCACGGAGCCGTCCTGTGTGAGGCTCAGAGGAGGAATAATTAAAAGACCAAAAAATAAAAGTACAGAATAAACAACCGAGAGAAAATAAACATTGTGGCACCAGGAGTCACAAAAGGATCGGGGCTCCATGTAACAGTTCATCTTTGAAATTGGAGCATGTGGTTGGTTGGTTCGCGTTTCTGAACAGCTTTCTTTAAGAACAAAAACTACAAAACCCTCCCTTCTGCTCCGAAACCAGTTAACGGTGCAATGGGATCGGTTGACTCCAGAAGAAAGCTTGCTGTGTGACAGGAGAGCGCCGTTCGTCGATGACGGAAAGGGAGAGGGGGTAGGCGGTGTGGAAGAAGTGGTGGTGAAGGAGGGGGTTGGACAAAGAGCAACAACGTCCGACGCCAACAAGGGAAAAAAAAGCGACACTGTTCCTCCGGTTCTGGAGCAAGACAAGAAAAATAATAAGGAAATGCAAAGCAGAAGCAATGCTGAAGTGGAGAGCTTGTTGCTCCAACTACCAATGTTCGGCTTTTCCACGTTTCAGTTTTACGTCTCCGTTCGGCTTTACAGTCCATTCCATTCTCTTAATTTTCTTCCGGAAAAGAATGCCTTGATAAGTGAAGCCACGACCACCTGCGTTCGGCTCTCATCCCAGTTTGGTGTGCCCACCAGATTCCAAAGTAGCCTTCTCATTCACCTCATGTGATCTCTCCAAAACTGCCCAAAGTTCTTTTTTTCGTTTTTTTTTAATTTTTTTTTCTTAAACAAAAAGGTTGATGTCTTGTTTTTTTAAATATATCTATATATGTATACATGTTTATTTTCACAGTGGGCAAAAAGATTACCTCTAGAGCAATACCTTGTATTTTCTTGTAAAACGTTCATGAATTATCGCGGATTTCGGCGTGTTGACGTTTCTTTCAAAAGTATCCAGCTGTCTTCTTGTGTCTCGTGCCACAATAAAATATACACTTTTGTGGGGCACAACCTTAAAATTTCCTTTTTTTTGTTTTAAACTGCATAAAGCTTTGGCCACATTCATATATTTAATTTAAAATAAAAACTGCTCAGTGCTTTACTATTATTATTTTCAATATTATTATTTCTTTTTAAAATCTTCACCTCCTTTTTTAATCCAGCTTCGCGGTTCAGTACTTTTGGTGCCTTTTACACTCAAACAATTGTAAAAATAAAATAACATTATGAAACAAACAAAAAAATGAAAAGGGCTCCTGCAGGAAACACACAGTTCATGCTTCTTGAATCTGGTGCAAAGACCTTGACCTCTTCCTACACAGAAAGGAGCCCAGAACAGAATAAACTTTGGAAACAAGAATTCAAACAGTCTTTTAAAAACACAAAAATATAGGAGACATTATTACACCATAAAGTGGCCAGGTCATAGTATAAAGAATAAAAAAGAAAACTTCAGCAATTCAAATATAAAGCTAGTGTTAAATGTTAATTTTATATGAGAAAAACAATGTAATATACAGAAACCAAATTACACACAAATAGTTATATGAAAAAACATAACTATGAAAAGGAAAAAGTATTAAAGAATAAACTGTACAACATTGGTTTTGTTTTAAAAAACAAACATACAATATGTTAAGAGACCAGAATTTTGGATTATCTGAGGGGTGGCAAACCTACTGACCAAATTAGCCAATTTCTTTTGCGTCTGGAAGTGTTAACACCAAATCACATTGCTCTGAGACATTTATGTCTTATTTCTTTTTAATTCCAAACTTATTCTGAACTGTGGTGTTGCTTAATGCAGGCTGAACTGTACACACTCAAGAACTAAAGGCATGCTGCTTCCAATCGCTTCAGCTGTTCAAATTTCCACATAGCTGTGATTTTGGTGTGAGGGAAGTAAGAAAATGGGGCAAAACTCAGTAGTTAGTTATTTTTTCTAAGCTACTTTTTTGTAAAGGAGAGTGGGGGAGTTCATTGAGCACAACCATAATATTTTCATCCACCAGCTGTGGGAGTGACCTCTTTGGAGTAAAAGGTGTTGACACACCTTTAAATGTTCCAAAATCATTCAGGGACATCTCAAAATACCAGTTTCTATGCTTTGGATCAAAATATTCCTTAGAAGTCTTTTGTCAACAGCTCATATTTGAAAATGGCTTAGAACTGCTCAGAAACCTCGAAAGAGCCCCTAGTTGTTTATTTGTAAGGAGGGAGGCAGACTTACTTGCAAACAGCAACTATTTCCTTCAGTAACTTGTTGGGCATTGAGAGTCATGAAAACAGTCAACTGGAAAAACAGAGATCCGTACCAAGTGTGTAATGTTTTGGTGACCTGTACTTCTTGGTAATCTTTTCAATGGGCTACATCCTTTCTGTTTCTAGAGATTTTAATCTCCCAACACCAGAACTAGACAAGAGGGAGTTTGAGTCCTTATGCTTTGCAAACCAGGATTCTAAATTTACACAACAGCTTACAGTCACCTTGCAAATAACAAAAAAAAAATCAGTCCTTGCTTTTTTTTAAAAAAAGACAAACTCTTCAACGTGGTATTTTGGAATGCACTGTTCTGTACAAACAATATAGATCATTGGCTTTCAACATTGGTTTAAAAATAATAAAATTAAACATAAGGAAAATAGAAAGTCAGCCAAACTGTCCTTTGGAACGTATATTCACAGTCTTCAAAGTTCCGTTTTTGCAACAAGGAAAAAAAAGAAAAAAAGAAAATTGCAGAGGCAGGGAAAATTGGTTTATTGTTTCTGTTTTGTTAAAGCTTAGCCAAAAAGCAAAATGAGCATGCATCTAGGTTTCTTTTCAAAAAACTACATTAGCAGCAAAACTTATGTCTTCAGAGACCAGACCTTATACATTTTCTTAAAAAATGGACTTTTGTGTGTGACAGAAATGAAAATGTCTAGATTAACATAACACATGTGCCCCAAGTTTAACAAAGAGCGTTTTTAACTTCTATCTTACAAACTGCAATGGCTCTATTATGGTGCTACTCCACAATGCTAGGACAAGGGCCCTTTTTTTGGTATTTGGTATTCTTGTTATTTTACGTAAAAAGCCACCTGTCTGCTTGCAAAGAAGCAAAAACGGCAACTCTGATGCTTATTCTTTTATTTTTAAACTTTGTTTTCTCTTCTTTAAAAACAGCAACAAATTCTCAAGTATAAAGAAGCCTCTTTTTCTCATCTTTATGCACCAATGGTGAAAGTGTTTTGTCTTTGGATTTTCTTTTTTTTTTTGTTTTAAAGCGTGAGAATTATTATTTTTTTTTCATTTTCATCCATGACAATGAAAAAAAAAGTTCAAAATGAAAGCAAAACAGACTGCAGCCACACTACACGAAGAACAAAGATCTGCTTTTGTAGTACAAGAGGAGGAGTAACCATCTCCAAATCTACAAGTGCAGAGCGAAAAGAAAAAAAAAACGAGAGAATAGAGAGGAAGAGCTAAAGTCAGACAGTGTTAAGTGCACAAAGGTAACACAATTAAATAATTAAATAGTTTCTTCAAAGTTTCACCCCAATATTTCTTTTTCTTTTTTGTCAGTATTCTAGTGACCAAAAAAAAAGAAGAAAATTTTCACTTGTTTCAGTCCCTACAAAATAAAGTATCCCACCATGTCAGTGAATGGTGGTAGGGTGAACAAAAGCTGAGGATAAGACAGAAATGAAGTATAGATCAGTACTGCTCCTAAATCTAGCCTATTGGAATGACCAAGACAACATCAAATGAAGCGCTTTTAAGTTGGACGATACAAAAGCTAAATGTACACAAAGTTTTTTTTCAATCTACCATACTGTTTAAATTCATTTCCAATGCAACAATCTACTTAACACCAAAAATGTTCATATCTATCATAAATACAGAAAGTTTTTTTTTTCTTAAAAAAATCTTTTTTTTTTCACCTACAAGTCCGCAACACTCTTTGTGTCTGGGTAAAGTGGGAGTGCTAATTTTCCCCTCTGAAATTATTTAAAATGCTTAAACTCAGCAGATCAGCTACCCTTTTGAATCCCCAGAAAGCTATGCCTTTATAATATTTTCTATTTTTTAATACTTTCTGCCTGTTAAATTAATCATTAAAAAAAAAAACGTTTGTTTTCCTGTTAGGAACAAAAATTAGAAAAGAATGAATTTCTGTAACAGAAAAAAGGTTGTGAGCTGTTGACCTGAGAATAAAATAGACATTACATTATTTTTTTATTTTAGCAAGCCATTGGTATCTGAACGCTTAGATAGCAAGAAAACTGTAAATGTAAGACTATTCTCCCATACAGTACATACTGGCTTTTTATACTGTGCTATTAACTGGGGACAAAAACGTAACCAAGGCAAAACCTGTCTTGCGAAGATTCATTTTGTAGGTAGGGGTTTTTGGGGGGCTATTTGAATATCATCTGAGGCAGTTCTTTGCTATACAGCATTCCACTTCTAACAGTATCCAAAAACTTAACTGCAGTGATCCGTTTATATATATATATTTGTGTTGAAAGAAATGAAAACCAGCATGTTAATATGGGAAAACAATCCACTAACATTTAATTTTTGGTTACAAGCTTTGGAATTGCAGTTAGTCTTTACACATTTTTTTTCTTCTGAAATTGGTTTGTATATTTTTTAAACTTTTTTTAACATCGCTGCTTTTTTTGTTTTTGTATGTGTTTTTTTAAAATTTTTTTAAACATTGTCCATCGTTGAGAGCTCTTTTACAATCGGATGGAGTCCGTCCCTACGCTAGCGAGATTACTACTACAACTACTACTGTCTTTGAGACAGCTGGGCTGCTGTGGCTCCTCTGCTGGCCGGCCCAGCCTGTCTGCAGACTTCTGACTGCTGTCAGAGTCAGACTCGTCGGTAAAGACGTCTGTTGGTATCGAGGTCTGAACCCCTGAGGTGCTCAATGAACTTGAGGTAACCGTTGAAGGTGAGGATACTGGAGGAAAAGAAGAAGAAGAAGAAGTGGCATTGGGCTTCCCAGCTAAAGCTCTGGAGAAAGGGGCCTGGGACCAGGGTTTGCCAGCGGTTGTGGCGTGTGGCGGGGTGGTGGAGGAGGAGGAGCACGAGGATGAAGACACAGAAGAGGACGGCGTGGTAGCTGTTGTCGTGGGCGGGGGAGGGGGGCTGTTGTGAGAGTGAGGGGCAGACTGCGAGGTAGATGCGGTGTTAGGATCGGGGAAGCAGGCTGAAGAGTGAGGTAATAAACTAGTAGCGTGCTCTTTGGCATTTCTGGCTGATCGCTTGATTGTTCTGTGTTTGTGCAAGGCTGACTCCAGGTGTTGACTCAGGGCTTCGTCCCCTTCCAGCGTGGTTTCGCAGGCCAGGCAGTCGAAGAGACTGCCCTCCCCTGCGCCGCCGCCGCCGCTGGGGATCCGAAGCAACATCTCTTGCAGGTTCGCCACAGACTGACCGAAAAAGCAGATCGATTTCAGATGGCTGACGGCTGCCTCTTCTTTGCTGAAGACGGCCTGACACTTACGGCACGCCAGCCGGTACTGCACCTTGGGGACGATGTACTGGTCGAGAAGGGGGTCCGCGCTTTTGATTTCCATCTCGTGCTGCTCGGAGGGGGGGTTCTGGTGGGAAGAGGAGGAAGAGGAAGAAGAAGAGGAGGAGGAAGAGGCCTCGCAGGAGGGAGTGCCTTTCTGCTCTTCAGCTTTCGCTGGATCTTTGGCAGGTTCTTTGTGGTCTGGGGCCCCCGGGGGTAGAGGGGGAACTGGAGTTTGGCTTACTTTGGGTTGCTGGAGCTGCTGAAGTTGCTGCTGCTGCTGCTGCTGCTGCTTCTGTTGCTGCTGCTGGAGCTGCCGCTGCTGCTGCTGAAGTGCCTCCTGCAGGCTCTGCTGATATTGCTGGTAGTGCTGGAGCAGGGATCCTGGGGACAGTCCCATCAGAGCTTGTGACAGAGCAGGATTGTATGGGAATAGGCCTTCCATACCATACATTGGCTGTAAGTAGCCACCCTGAAGAGCTCCGGGTATCTGGGGGGCATAGTATGGCGAGAAGCCTGGCATGAAGTAGGGCAGGAACTGGCTGGTGAGCAGAGTTGTGGGGTCTGATGCTAGGGCAGCCTGCAGGGCTTGGAGCTGGGCAGGATCCACCACGTACTCCATGCCAGGCGTCGGCATGGAAGTGGCGGGGACAGCGGTGTCCGGCTTCTCTTTCTTAGCGCTGGCAGCAGCAGCGGGGGGAGCTGGGGTGCTCGTTGCTGAGGACGGCGTAGGGGTCTGCTCCGGCTTCTCCTTGGGCTTCTCCTTGTCTCTGCCCCTTTCCGTGTCACGCTCTTTGGGGGGTTCGGGCCGAGGGCCCAGCGGGGTGGCTGCTGAGGTGGGCGCAGGGTGCGGGGTAGAGGTGCTGGCCTGGGCTGGGTTGGGCGAGGCCAGGGAGGAGGAGGGAGGCTTGTTGGGTAGTCCAGATGTTGGGAGGCTGGGTGAGGGGACACTGGCACCAGGCATGCTCAGAAGGTTTGGAGGTTTTGGAGGCGTTAAAGCTGCAAGACAAGAAGAGTGATGAGGCTCAACAGAGAAAGTACAATTAGTAGGCCGCTGTCCTGAAAAGCACTGTGGAAGTCACTATTATATAGCTCAGGTGGGGAGCTGCGTCAGCATGCGTTGGCTGCAAAGGAACAAGTAATGGGTTTATTCCATGCTGAAAGAGAAGAAAGAAAACACATTGTTTTGGCTGTGGAGCCTTCTTCGGGTGACACACTTCGGGTGTCACACCCGAAGAAGGCTCCACAGCCAAAACATCTTCTCTTTTCAGCATGGAATAAACCTATTACATGTGCCGTCACTATTATATAGTTTGGCTCTTGAAGGAAATGCTGATATTAAGATTATAACATAACATTCCAATTTTAAATAAACATTTTCAAACTTCTTTTTCTCTGAGATGGTGGTGCTATGCTCTTCCTCAGGTTAAACAGTAAAGATTAAAACAGATTAAGCATTGAAGGCTGCCACTGTCCTCCATTTGTCTTCAAGATGATTTTAACCTAATCTTACAATATATGAGCTTCGGTATTTTGGATAGAAATCTACAAAGTTCGATCCCAAGTTTTGTTCAGAACTTCAGAACAACAAAAGCTGAAACAACAGTATATTATTTTTAGATCATTTCTTTTCCTTATGCAAATTTATCCTTAATTTTGATCTCCATATTTTGAATTTCAATTATTTCTCAGCACAGAAATAGTGGTTGATTTTAATACAATTATAATTGTATTATAATTGAGTTTTGATTTAAGAAGAAAACTGAGAAGTACTTTATAACACTACTATATTTATGATGCATTTCTGGGCAATGTTCTCAGACCTGTATAGCGTTCCTGGGACCAGGAGTGTCCTTCCCTATTGTGAAATGTATGGTAATATTCCGCTTTCACCACTAATTCAAGGGACACCTGATATGCTAGCTGGAAAAAGCCTTGCCTACAGTGATCAGCTGCTTTTTCCAGTGGGGACATACCTGTGTTAGATGAAGCAAAGCCTGGTAAAGAGGGACTGCCCACCCCTGGCAGCAGGACTGGGGGTATACCCTGCAATGTGGGGTAGGCGGAAGAGAGGTTCAGAGCCTGCAGGGGTGGGTTGTCAAACATCCCTTGCTGCTGCAGGGCTTGTTGCTGTGCTAGTCCCAGAACTTCATTGGCTTTCTTAATGCGGTCTAGTTCCTGTTGAGCCATCAGCTGACGGACAGTAGCAGGGTCAAAGTATTCTTTTTCCTTGTCCAGCTGGCTCCCAATAGTGTCCTTCACCTTGGAGATGTGTTGCTGGGAAAAGATATGGTCTCGCACTGAGAGTCGTGCACTGTACTTAATGCCACACAATGTGCATTCGGTTTTAGGTCCCTCATAAGATGTTTGGTTGATACCAAAGTGCTTGGCCATGCTCAGCTTGGCTTTCTTCTCCTTGGCCCGAGCATTCTGGAACCATACCTGCACGACCCTCTTTGGAAGTCCAATATCATTGCCAAGCACCTCACATTCCAGCATGGTGGGCGTCCTGTAGTCATTGAAACAGGACTTGAGCACCTTCAGCTGGAGGTTAGTCATCTGCGTACGGAAGCGCTTTTGGCCTGGCCGGTCTCCACTGTCCATACTCTTGCTTCCTGAAGCCCCAGGGCTTGGAGAGCAGGGATCTGCCAGACTGGATGTCTCGCTGTAGTCCACCATTGTTTCATTTTCATAATCCTTGGCATAATAACTAGTTGCGGGGCTTACAAGCCCTGAAGACATCTGGTCATCATTCTCTATAGAAGGAGCAGTTCCCGCAGATTTTGGCAGGAGGTCGGCAGTGTTGTGAGCGTGCTTTGCATCTGCACTATCATTGTCAGCGTTGGCCTCATCACCAGTAGTTGTATCTGTGATGGCTGTGTTTACAGAGGAACAGTCATCATTGTCCAGCTTGTTCGGGTCATAGCTTAAATTGACAGAAGACATGGTTGGGCTTTCAAAATCCTCCATGCCCTCAACCTTGATAGAAGATGGGCTCAACAGGGCCCGGGGAGAGAGATCCATAGTTTTGCTCACTGGTGACAGAGAGGAACAATGTCCATCACTGTTTGATGGAGGAAGTTGTGAGAAGTTGGAACCATCCAGGGGATCCATTTTTAGTTGGAAAGGTTCCTGGTCTGGTAGCATGCTGGACAGAGAGAGGTTGTAACCAGCACGCTTTGCTTCGTGCCAGTGACGTGACCGGATGTGGGCCTCCAGGGCTGTCTTTGCCTTAAAGAGGGCACGACAGAAGGGGCAGCGACGGTGTGCTTGAGCAGGGCCCACAGCTCGGAACTGACCTTTCCTTTCTCTGGCCCTTGTGTTCTGAAACCAGACCTGTACCACCCTCTTCTTGAGACCCACCTCATGGGCAATGTGATCAAGCATCTTGCGGGTAGGGTTGGAGTCGAGCAGGTACTTCTGGTACAGGATCTCAAGCTGCTCTGGTGTGATGGTAGTTCGGAGACGCTTGTCTCTCTGCGGCTCTTCTCCACTGTTTCCACTGTCATTCTCCCCTGGACTGGCACCTGCTTTTTCCTCAATTTTTCTCTTCAGGGAGTTCATCGTAGAAGTAGGTGTGGACGGTGATGTGGCAGAGCTGGTGGGGATTTGGGGTAGAGCTCCTGACAGAAGCTGGCTGGCAAGAAGGGGATTATTAGGATCAAACAGCATGAAGGACATGTCCATAGGGCGGTCAATGAACTGTGGATGGATAAACTGGTTTTGTACCGTGAGGAAGTGAAGCTGCTGGTGTTCCTGCCAGTGCTCAAAAGAAGGGAAAGCCAGCTTACACTGGTCACACTGGTAAGGGATCATCTGTTGGGACATGGTTCCAAGTTGCTGCTGCTGCTGTGAAGTAGAGGCCAGGAGAGGGTTGAGTGCCATGTGGGAACCTTGTGAAGGAGTAGGGCTGGCTTGGGATATGGCAGGACCTCCCTGCAGCTGCTGCTGGTGCTGCTGGGAAGGGGAAGGGGTGGAAAGCTGGGGAGTCTTTGGGGCTACCTGGGCTTTTTCCTCTTGTGGCTGTTGCTGTTGCTGCTGATCTGCTTGTGGTTGCTGGGGCGTCTCTGGCTTAGAAAGCCCCTGGGTGTCCTGTGGCTGAAGCTGGGATGATGGCTCACCTAAGTGTTTTGCCTTCTCATCAAACGAATTCTGTCTGGTGACAGGAGAAGCCTCTTCTTTTTCAGAGGAAGTCATATGGGCAAATGCTGAGGTTGATGGAGGCAGAGGGCAGAGACTGGAGGAAGAGGGCATGGGAGTGTTACAGGAGGAACCAGATGGGGTGTGGTATTCATGAAGAGCATCCATGGAGTCCTCATTTTGACTGTCATACTGCCCTTCCTCATCCTCATCCTTGTAGCACAGTTTCTTTTGGTGCTTGATTAGATCAAAGATGCGCTGGAAGACCAGGCTGCATTTCTTGCACTGGTAGTTCAAATTACTGGTACGGATATAACGGTCATTGGAGAGCTCTCGCCTCTCACCCTCCTTGACTCCATCTCCCTGGTTCTCATAGTTTTTTCGAGCTTTTTGACGAGCATTCTGGAACCACACTACAATAACTCGTGTAGGCAGATTCAGCAGGTTAGAGAGCTGCTCAAATTCATCATCTTTAGGGTAGGCATTAGCATCAAAGAAATCCTGAAGCACCCTTAGCTGGTAGTCAGTGAACCTTGTTCTTGAAGATCTTTTGCTTCCATAATACTCTGGTTTTGGGGGCTCAGGTGAGGGGGGTTTAGAATCAAGTTTAGTATCCTCCAGTGTCGTGACAGGTGGGTTGTTGAAGTTGTAAGGTGAATCTTTGTTGCGTTGGCGCTCTTTAAAAAGGGTGTTACGGAACCAGTGCTTAATAACTTTTTGGGGCAGCCCCGACTTGTCAGCCATCTCTTTGATCTGATCTTCATTCGGGGAGTTGTTGATGTCAAAATACTGCCGCAGGACTCTCAGTTGGTCATCTGTTATGCGGGTCCGGGGCCTTTTATTCTGCTGCTGTTGCTGGAGCATGGCTGGGGTGAGCTGCTGTTGGTAGAGCTGAGCAAGGTCAGCGCCCAGCGGCTCCACAGATGGAAGCTGGCTGGGGATTTGAGTGGGCAAAGACTGGAGAGACATGGGCTGCATCATCAGTGGAGAGAAGATCGGGAGCTCCATGGGCATGGGAAGTTGAGCCATGGGAACAGGAGGCTGTGGGGTAGGAATAGCAGGAGGCGTGAGTGGAGGGGCAGAGGTAGGGATATTTGGTGCAGGAGCTGGCTGAGGTGGGGGTGGAGGAGGGGGAGGCGGAGGAGGAGGTGGGGGAGCTGTTTCAGGTGTCTGGGGTCTCAGAGGGTAAAGCTTGTCATATTGCTCCCGGTATTCCTTGGCAAACCTCTCTAAGGAACGGAAAGGAAAGAAAGCCTGATGCACATGCTCTTGATGGCTCTTCAATATCAAGATGTTGGAAAACAGTTTGCCACAAGCCTCACACTCCAACTTTTCCAGTCCTTCACTTGGGTCCACCAGTCTGCTGATGCCGCCTTGCCCACTCTGTCCTACGACACCTCCTGGCCTTTTCTGAACTTTCTGCTTATTCTCATTGTATTGTATCACCAACTCAAACCCAAAGTTCTCCAGGAGTGCCTTGGTAGCATTGCCTCGAGCATCTGATGCAATTCTTGGAGGTGGAAATCCAGGCTCGGAGCTCCCAGCACCTTGCATTGTCTGCTGGTCTTTCTTATCTTTAGCTTTCATTATATCCATTGTTCCCTCTCTGCAAATGAGACCTGCATCTTCTGTCTTCTCATTAGCCTCCTTATCTCTCTGCCCTTCTCTCTCCTTCTCATTTGGAACAGGGGGTTTTGTTTTTTTCTCTACCTGATGGAGCAGGGATGCATTCTGTTGGAGCAAAGCCATCTGCCCCTGTACTTGCGACTGCTGTTGGTGCTGCTGTTGGTGTTGCTGTTGCTGCAGTTGTTGATGGTGCATGAGTTGCTGTTGCAGGCAGGTCTGCTGTGCCTGCTGCGCAGAGTGCTTCAGGTCCTCTAACAAGGAAGAGGAGGAAGAGGAGGAGCCAGCCAGACTGAGGGTGGAGCTGCTCACTGGCAGGTTGATCTCTGGGTTAAGCTGGAACTCTGCTCCAGGGATATAGAAAGGAAAGAGCAACTGCTGCTGCTGAAGTGGGAGAAGAGCCTCTGTGGTCATAGGGAAGTGCTGGAGAAGTGCTGGGTTGAAAAGCTGGGACTGGAGAAGAGCAGCTTGTTGTTGGAGCTCTTGCTGGAGCTGGGCCTGAGCTTGAGCTTGAGCCTGGGCAAGCTGTTGCTGTTGCTGCTGCTGTTGCTGCTGCAGTTGCTGTTGTTGTCCTCTGGAGGACAGCATGTCTGCCAATTTCTTCTTCTTTGCTTCCTTGGTGTCTGATGGAGAAGGCAGGCCAGTGGTTGAGTTCCCATGGTTATCTATGCTATGAGGCTGTGGTAACTGATTTCCTCCCAGCAAGCTTTGCACAGTTTGAGCTCCAGCTGAGGAGTTGGTGCTAGTGGTGCTTGTTGTGTTGGTAGCAGAATTAGGACTTGGTGTAGAGGTGCCTACTGAGGACATAACACCACTTCCAGGAACACCACTTGCACTAATGGTGCTACTGCTACCCCCTGCTGCTTCCAGCTTGGCTGCCCGGGCTTTGGTCTGGTGGAGGACAGATCGCATGTGAATTTCCAGAGTGGAGCTCTGACTATAGGCTACATTGCAGGTGCTGCACTTGAAAGGCTTGTTGTCTGGACTGCTTGTGGGCTCAGGCTGACCAGTGGTAGACTCTTGCAGGGCTCTCTTCACCTTATGCAAGTGGGAGACAGAGTTGTAGTGTACAAGAAGAATGTTCTTTTGGGTAAAGGACTCCTTACACACCGTGCATTTGAAAGGCCGGGACGGATCCAGAAACTTCTCCATGGTGAAGTTGGGGCCCTTCCGAAAAGGCAGGGCCCGCTTAGGTTCTGATCCCGAGTCCTCCTGTACTGAACCGGAGTCACTACCAGCCGGGCTTTGCTTTTCCTCTGGGTCACTCTCCTCTCCTTCCTTTTCATCTTCACCCAGAGCTCCCTGGTCTTCACCCAATGAAGGATCACCCATGACCATCAGGTCCCCATTCATAAGCAAGCCCCCATAAAGCTGCTGGATGTCAGCCTCACTCAGTTCAAGGTGACTGGTCTCTAGGTGTTTCTTCAAGGCCTGCAGGGTTCTAAAGTTACGCTGACAGAGGCAGCACATGGTGGCTGCTCTAATGACATGATATTGGGAATGCAACTGCAGCTTCTCCACAGTCTTGAATGCTAAGCTACACTGGTTGCAGCGGTACTTGTATACATGTCGGTCAGAGACAGGCAGCTGTGGCCTCTTGTTGTGGACCTCATTGAAATGCATCTGGAGAGCATTGGAGGTCTTGAAGACCTGGTTGCAACCTTTTTTCCAGCACAGGAACCCAGCAGTTTCTTCCTTTGATGAAGCCTGGTCTTCCAGAGGTGACTTACGGGCTTCAGGAGTTTCTGAAGGTAGAGGGGCTCCCTTCTCAGGTTCAGCCTCTGAGGTTTCTGCTAAACAATACAAAAAAATCACATGAATTACAGTGGTTCCCACACAGGTAGTGCAGGAGCACAGCAGGTTGACAAGATGGTGGCATTATCTGAACTTGCTGTGCTCTTGCAATAGATACTTGCAACAGAATTTAAATTTCTACTGACTAAAACTTTGTCTAAAACATTTTAAATGGCTTGTTCTTTCTGTAGCTAAGATTTTTTTTAACTGACATTATACATTTCCCGCCAGGATATCATGTCAAAGCAAGATGAGGGTAGCTGCTAAATAACTACGAAGCAGGAGATCCTATACTTCACACCCAGATGAGGTCTCTTGAACTAACCTGGTAGCTTCTTTGTGTCATCAGCACTGGAATTGGCTGCAGTCTGTGCTGCAGTGTGTCCTTCTCTCTCTGGGCCAGTCACAGGTATGAACATGCTCGTTGGTAACACCTCTGATGCAGTCACCTGTAATACAAAACACAAGAGAGTCCCATATTAACTGTTACACTATGTAGAACAATGTAGTAGGGCCTGCTAATTTCTTGTTGACATTTATTATGTGTACGAGTTTGGTATTTTTTTTCTTTCTTTTTCTTTAACAGGTCTTAATTAAATCTGTCATCTGCTTGGTAATGACATGCTCTGCAAGAACAAGCAATCAAAGCAGGAAAAAAGAGCAACCATACACTCAGCCTGTTTATCCTCAGCTTTGGTGGATTTATTATGTGAGATACATTTTTACATTTCATTACAGTCTCCTTTCAAAATAAAGCCTTGACAAGATGCTAAACATTTTATTAAGAGCAGCACGTTGTGACTGGTATATATCAGAATATGATCTGTAAATTGAATTATGAATGAAAAAATCTCAATACAGAAATTATCTTTATTTTCCTACTCTGTTATATTATATTTCTTTCTATAGGACCTTGGCCTTTTCTCTTCTTCATAATAGTACAGCTTTTCTTTTTCGTAACAGCTTTGGGTTTTCCAGTATCCTGTGAAACAGCACAGTTCGAGTGTTAGTGACTGAGGCTGCACAGCAGGTGTGTGGGTTTCTGGATGTTGATAAGATGTTTCTCTCAACACTTGACCACTTGAAAAATGTGAAGCTCGTTTGGTTTATCTAGGAATAAATCTTTTAAGAAACACACGCGCGTACTAAAATAATCGTATTATTTTTACTGTATTTACCATCTTGGAATTTACACTTTGATCATTGCCGGTGTTTTGTCATGCGCCTGGAAAGTTCTGCTGCAGCCAATTAGTGAGATGGGTTGAAAGACCTATCTTGGCTAACTGAAAAAGCTTATTAGGGTGCCTAATTAAATCATTCTTCCTCGTAAAGAGTGCATCCCGTTCCTGTTGAAGGAAGCACTGCAGAAGCATGTCATCATAATGTACAGGCATGGTGCCGAAATTCACCCCCCAGACAAACTGGAGTGGGAAGAGGAAAGAGACCTCAGTAACATCTAAACATAGCATCTGACAGTCATGCTTAAATAATATAGCTCGTTAAACAAGTGGGAGCGAGCAGACACTCAGAATGTTGCTCATGTTAAACCTCTTTTGAGGACAGAAAGAGAGAAAGACTGATGAGGAGACGAACCCAGAGAAACAGACAAATAAGGACAGTGGGTATTATGTATTTTGCCGCTGTAACTAATTTCATTTTTCAATTTTTTTTTTAATTGGAAGATTTCAAGGAGCAATGAATATTGATTAGAAAAGTGAGAGAAGCACAGCCAGGTTTTCTTTGCACTCGAAAGGTT